TAAACCATGCATAGTAGGTACAGTAAGTATAGTATAGTATGTATAGTGCGGCATAAACCATGCATACTTGTGTATTATCTGGAATGAAACTTGTATGGACTAGTAAATCAAACATTTAAGTGTCTGGGTCCAGACACTGTGTATTTGTGAGATGTGGAATCAGTTTATTATTCTTCAGCCAGATAACTAAGCCAATTTCTAGCCTGGGCGATGGTTTGAAGGCCATGCCTGTGATCAGTACAGGCAGAATGATTTCAGCATTGGGCCCCTGACCATGCCATCTCCATGGTCAGGCTTTGGATGGATGGCCATGACTTTGGATAGATGAGCCTGTTAACCAAAGATTGACTTTATTGATCCTAGGAGGATATTTTAGTGCATCCAGCCACACATAGTCCACAGACAAATATACCTATAGTGACAAACAAACAAGCTGCAAGGACAACACACAAAGTAAACGTGCTGTAGACAGATTTAAAAGGTACACATCACACAAACAAAATATCCTGAAAAACAGAATATTATGATACCATAAATAAATAAATATCTAACGATAACAGTAATATATTCTGTGCAAATACTTTTACCAGTTGACTTGTGATTATGAGGTTGTCACCAAGGCAGGTGTTGGACGTGTACGCAATCCAAAATTTTTTGAACATTTCATGAACAATTCTTCGATACTCTGTTTTGTTGTTGGACATGGATTTGTTTATTTGTTTATTTAATTGTTCATTTTTAGCAAACTGAGGATCAGCCAGTCCCTGGGGCAGCTGGGGTTAAGGCCCTCGCTCAAGGGCCAATTCTGCTGGCCAACAATTTGAACAGATACACACACTTCACCCACAGAGCCAGGCACCATTTTATATATTGGATTCTTTATTTTTTATTTTCAAATTTTTACAAAAGATTATAGCATGCAAAGTATGATGAAAAAATGTTTTGTTTTTTTTTTGCAAGTGTACTCAAATCTTTCTCTTGTACTGTATCGTTTTCTCTCAGGAGATTTCAGGTGAGATTACAAGTAGTTGTTCATCAGATTTGTAAAAAAGAAAATATATATATATATATAATACATTTTCAATAAATGGTTACATAACTAACACAAGCCACATTTTCAAATATATCTTTACACTATAATTTAATGTTATTCAACTGATGATGTTTAAATAGCATTGTAGCACTGTAGGACTGCCCCAACCTTCAAGGGCTGGGAGGTGTGTGGAGTTTTCACTGTACTGTGTGGCTGTCCTCTGACAAACCCAAGACATGCAGTTAGGCTAACTGGCATCTCAAAATTGACATACTGTGTCCTATGGTGGACTGCCATCTGGTGCCTAATGCTTGGGATACTGTAGATATGTTATACTGCTGCAACAGGTATTGCAGTGATTTTTTTTACTGCTGTAACAGGTATTGCAGTGATTTTGGATTACTGTAACAGGTATTGCAGTGATTTTTTTTACTGTTGTAACAATGTGTTTATTTAAATTATTCAATTTATATTGTACTAGACGATGGATTGGAACATTTGCTATATTTAAACAAAATGACTACTCACTTCCCATTCTGTAAAAAGAGTTACATTTGTTCCCTGCTCTGCTTCTATTAACTGTGAAGGGCAGAAGAATGTCATTTGTTCAGGTAATTTGTTCAGGATACAGAAAGATTCGTTAAACTGACATAACATAAGACTTTAAAAACAATCACAAAAATGTCACTGGCAGCATTTTAAGATATAGAAGTTTCCTGTTATTACATGTAATGATACATTTTATTATGTGACCATTATTTGTAATTTTGTATTATTTGTAAGTTTCCAAAATTGCACATACTAATGGCTTCCTAAACCATTTGTAAAAGAAACCGTAAATAACTGGATTCCATCCAGAATTTGAGTAACCAATCCAGCCAAAAACCTCAAGCAAAACTGGAGTTTCATGACCAAAGAGTGCATTTACTGTGTTGCACAGGAAAAACGGCATCCAACAGGATAGGAAAACTCCAACTACAATCCCTAGGGTCCTTGTGGCCTTTTGCTCCAACTTTCGTATTAAAGTGCTCTCACGACCAGCATAGACATTCACACAACCTCTGCTCTGAATGGAGCTGGCTTGCTTCTGTGCCACATGGAAAATCTTCAGATACAGTCCAAGAATAACGAGGGCCAGAATATAAAAGGCAAGGACATAAGAAAGAGAGTTTGCCATTTTCCCCTGCAGCACAAAACACCCTCCCTCACAATAATCATATCTATACAAGTCCTCAATGCCCCAGATGTTTAGGTCCAGAAAAATCATCCCAAACCCAAAAATGGAAGAAACAGTCCAGCTGATTATAATCAAAGGCACTACGGTAGAGGTGCTGATCTTGGTGTTGTACTGAAAGGGCTGACAGACAGCATAGTAGCGCTCGATGGAGATTAAGGTGAGGTGTAAGATGGAAGCATGACACAGGGTGAAGTCCGTACTGGTGTGGATCCTACAGAATACATTTCCGAAATACCAGCAAGTCTCCACTGAGCGCACCATACTGGGCGGCATGACCACCACCCCCACGAGGAGGTCGGCCGTGGCCAGGGAGAGGATGAGGTAATTGGTGGGAGTGTGCAGCTGTCTGAAGAGGGCTATAGAGACAATGACGAGGAGATTTCCCAGCACAGTGAGGAGTATGGTGGCCCCTAATAGAACATATACTGGAACCCACACAGCCGCTGGATAAACATTCTTTTGACAGGAACTGTTTATGGATTCATAACAAAACTGAATATTTTTCTGACTCCCAGATTGGTTGATGTTCATCTTTTCATGCTCCAGCATGAAAAATGTTTGAATCTGATATGCCTGTATGAATAAAAAAAAGAAAAGAATTTAAGCAAACATACTGTACATCTAATTTACACATATAACTAACATCAGATTATTGCATTTTTATAATACATTATCAGGATGCATAAGTAAATATTACGTCAACGTAAAGGTGTTTTCTAATACCAAGCAATTTCTAGATCATAGATAAATGGTATATTATAATTTTAAAGTATCCATACACATTAAAAGGAATGCCAGACCTTACCATGGTGAAAAGCCCTGCAGGGGAACCCTGTCACACTGGAGGAGGCTCTGTAATATATACTCACGGTTTGGCAGAAACATATTACCCATCATGCCATGCGGCCCTCTCTGGGACCGTGGCTTTCCTCACTGGCTTTAATTAAACAATGAAAACATCAGATGTCCAAAAGCTGGCACTTTGCCGCTGAGGTCCTGTATTTACAGTATTTTAAATATGCTTTTATCTTTAAGCCCTGCTATGGGTTGTTCCCGGCCTAGTGCCCCATACTTTATGGAAAAGGCTGCGGGCCCCCCAAGACCCCGAATAGGATATGCCATGACAGGAAATGGATGGATGGATATAATCTTTAATACACAGTGCATTTCATTTGAGCTGATGGAATAACTGTCGTAAGACACATACCACAGGCCTTATACGTATTAATTACTGATTGTGACTGTCTGCTATTTGTGTCTGTGTACTGATTAAATGCGGATTACGTAAGGAAAATGAATGGATGAATAGATGAATGTTTTTACAGCACAGTAAATAAAAATTACAGTAATTAGAGTCTGTATATGGATGGCAGGGCATCGTCACACTTCTAGCTGACAGGGTTCAAATCCTGCCCTGTATATGTGGAGTTTGCACATTCTCCTGTGTTTGCATGAGTTTCCTCCGGTCTTTGCCCGCAGGTTTTTGCCTGCAGTGTCTGTCTGTCCTGTGATGGACTGGCATCCCATACTGGGTGCTCCCTGCCTTGTACCCTGTGCCTCCTGGCAAAGGCCCCACTGAGTCCCTGAGGCATGGGCACCTCTAGAGATTATGGGCCCCAGCCTAGACCAGTCCAGCCCTGTGCAGTTCCCATAACCACACTGAAACACACATGACTCTTTCAAAACCTTAACAACTTTAATCATTTGACTAAATTTCCCTTTGTTGCCTGGTAGCTCTGATGTACACTTAACACTTAATGTCCTATATAACAGACGGTGAGCTATGAAAATATATTTATTACTGTTAAAACAAACTTTGTGTCTCATTAATTTAGTTATTACTGGTCCCATAAACAAACTTGGTTGCAATTATGAAACCAAAGACAAAACTTCATTTAATAGCGAGATTCTGCTGGAGTCAAATGTGCAAAAAAGCAATCCATAAAAATTTGTCATTTTATGCATTTTCACAGGGACATTAGGATTGAATCATCAAGAATACGACACTATGATAAACCTTTTTGATGCATTTCAAAGTTGCATTTACATGTCATGTTTCAAAAAATATTATTTAACTATGTGATATGCACTATATACATATACAATACCCAGAATAAGTTTTTGATCACATATTTTAGTTTTTTTTGTATTGCTTTAAAGTCGTAACGCAACTTCCTGGCAAATGAACATACGATGTTTGTGATTGTGATTATAAATAAATACGATAACTAAAATTATGTACAGAGCAGCTTATTCAGGGTCCCTCCCACGCCCCGACAGGCCTCGCTCTTCTCTCTGATCTAACCTCTGGGCACAGCCACCCCCAGCAGGCTGTATGTCAATGTTTGCCTTTTTTCAGCTGTTTGTGTGCTGCTTATGCTATAGCTTTGAGCTGATAGACAAGCGTTATGTAACCAGTACTCAATGAATCTGAAATGTTATGTCCTCTTCATGCCTTGTGGCAAGCTTCTGCATGTGATCTGCTTTGGGAAACTCTATACCATATTGTTTTATTTTAATAAGTGTTTGAAATTGTGTAGCACCTTGATGTGCTACAAGTTAGGGCAAAAGTATAGAGGTCCATGAAATCTGAAGTGGAAATGAAATACATCTCTGACAATCAAGCAAGTTTATTTTGTCCTCTGTGCTTCTATTGCATTTATACTTTATGTCAGTAGGTGGTGCTATTCACATTGTATTTGATTACACACAATACTACGCTTCCCAGGCAAAGGAATCATAAATGGTGTAGTCTAGTCAACCCAGATACAGCATTAAACCTGTTGTTTGTCATGTGATCACCAAGTAAGTCTTTATTTCCCCTCTTCTGTTAACTTCTGGATTTTTTTTCTAATCTGAATTTTAATATAATATCATTCTGTAATGATGTACCGGTTGAAAATGTTGTGTATTTTGATGTATAATATAAAAATACTGAATTTAAATCTCACCAACACGGTTTTGCTTTCACATTTTATTATTGGCGTTTTTGTAAAACTAACGTGAATGAGAGAAACATTATAGAGAATACATTATACATAATTGATATAGCAGCGTTGGGTTTGCAGTAAAGAATAATTATTATAAACCACTCCATCTGTGCTATACCCCGACGTTAAAGGCAGGTAGCCAGTATAGATCATTACCAGATACAGGAGTCGGCATCAGAGGTGCAGTAACATCGATGTGGGAAATGAGAGAAAATGACAGAAACTTCAGTCACACTATAGATTGACCAGTATTTCACCTGGATCCGCAATAATAAAATTAATCAAATTTGTTAAATATTTTACTAAAAGTTTTTCTCAGTGACTCCCTAAACCATTTAAAGAAGAATGAATAAATAATAGGATTCATTACTGAATTCAAATAGTAAATCCAAACAAGAATGTCATACAAGTACTGTGTGGATGAATCAGTGACTGGATCTATTAACATGCATATAAAAGTGGGCGACCAACAGGACAGGAAGACAGCAGTAACTATGCCCAGTGTCCTGGTGGATTTTTGCTCCATCTTAGACAAAAAGATTCTAGTTTTTTCACGGTTCCTGATAGTAAGAATTGTGACCTGAAGAGAACGGGCTTGTTTATGTGCAATAACTAGGATTTTCAGGTAGAGGCCAAGCATAAATAACCCTGGGATAAAGAAAACAAAAAGAGAAGATAATATGCTTGACAGCTTGTCTAATAACACAGCACACCTTCCCTCACAGTTTAATTGTGTGAGGTAAACATCCTGAATTGTCAAGCTGTTTAGCTCCATCCCAAAGCCGATGAGGGCAGAAAGAACCCAGCAGATCAGGATCATGCACTTTGCAACATGAGTTGTGATCAAAGTGTGGTACAGCAGAGGCCGAGAAACAGCAACGTATCGCTCAACAGAAATCAAATAAAGCATAAAAATGGATGCTGCAGTGAGTGAAGTTTCTACACTGGTGTGGATCTTACAGAACCAGTCACCCAAATACCAGCAGGTTTCCAGGGAGCGTATCAAGCTAGGCGGCATGACCACTGCCCCTAGGAGGAAGTCGCTCACAGCCAGGGAGAGGATGAGGTAATTGGTGGGAGTGTGCAGCTGTTTGGAGTGGGATATAGTAACAATGACGAGGAGATTTCCCAGCACAGTGAGGAGTATGGTGGCCCCTAACAGAACATACAAAGAGGCCCGTATTGTGATTGGATAAACAAGCTTTAGGCAGGAAGTGTTTGAGGATTCGAAGCAGTAGTGTACACTTTCAGTCTCAGATTGGTTAGTTTTCATCGTTTTGTGTTCCAAAGGATAAAAAATCAACCTTTGCAACCTGCATGGGGAAAAGAGAGAGATTTTAACCTGCACATCCACATCAGTCGTGCATTTAAAATGAACTTTTTTATGTATGTAGATTTTTATACACCTATACAACGTATCTTTTTTTTCATTTTTTCTCAGACGTACTATTATAACTAATCATTTGCAATGTCAACATCTCTCATTACATATATACACATAAACATATTCTTGTGTGTCTAATTTTGAAGGAAAACATTTTTTTTTTGCCCGAAATCATTCACTAAATACCAAAACCAGCGGAGACTTCATGCACTTGAAACTGATCATATCTGTCATATTACATCAGTCTTAACACAGCATAATGTTATGATAATGTGCCGCAATACACAGGGGTATCAAGCTTTAAATCTTTCTAAATTTTAGTCAGATTAGGAGTTTTGAATATTTGTTTTTCTTAAATACCCTCAATTTCTGTGTGTACATGCATACAGCACTGTGCAAAAATCTTAGGCAGTGAAAGAAAATTATGGTTACATGATAGTCACTTTGCAGGAGGGCTGGATTAAAAGTATTAAATGCCCCTGAGCAACAGCAGACATGACGTCACGTCAGAAAGAAACGGAGCTGATTGGTTGCTCACGGAATGCATGTAATACAGGGATAATGCTACACAAGCTTTTCAGTGGGTGTCAAAGAACAATAAACTTCCATCCATTTTCTATACCTGCTTGTCCTGTGCAGGATCATGGGGGTCTGAGCCTATCCCAGAAACTACTGGCGCAAGGCAGGGAATAACATAGGACGGGGCACCAGTCCATCGCAGGGCACACACACACACACACACACACACACACACAAGCACGCACACATTAACACACACACAAGTTGGTCTTCCTATCTAAATGGGGACTGTCCATTCATTTCTATGGGAAAAACCCTAATCACAAACACAACACCCTTAACCTCTACCCATTCCTAACGTTAACCATAAGTAACCAACCCAAATACAAGACTTTTGGCATTTTTACTTTTTTGATTGCATTCACAGATTTTTATAAAACTGAGGATATCCAAATGGGGACCTCAAAAGATGTCCCCAAAAGTAGGAAATTTCAGGTTTTACTACACTTTGGGGACAATTTGGTCCTCAAATGTGATCTATGCAAACCCACACACACACACACACACACACACACACAACTGGGTAACTTCATTTTACCTTAGCATGGTTTTGGACTGTGGGAGCAAACTGGAAAGCCCAGAGGAAACCCACGGCG